TGTCTGTCCGGCTGGTGGTCTCTGTGTGGAGTTGGTGTTCTCCCCGTGCTTGCGTGGGTTTTCTCCGGGTGCTCCGGTTTCCTCCCACAATCTTCAAAAACACGCCGATTAGAAACTCTTAATTGCCCCTCTAAAAAAATGGGGTTCAAATAAATACAACAAAACAAAGTCAACTCTAAACTGTTTTTGGTTTCTAAGTGTTCAGGTTGTTTGCAGGTCTTGAGGTTTTTTTTATCATTATTACTGGACAGGATTTGTATAAAGGTTGGTGTTCAATATGGTAGAACTTTATTAAGATCATGTTTTAACACTAAGAGCTGCTGCTGAGAGTCGTCCCACTGTGGTGTATTCAACAAACAATCTAAAAAAAAATGTATATATTTAATATTTCCATCATATGTTGTCCATTTTGTCATCGCTTCATTTACATCAGATTTTTCAGATTCTTCAGTTCCAGCTGTGGATTTCACAGCTCACTTATTTTACCAGCAAAATGTCTGAAGAGTTGATGATTCATACGTGTTTGAAGTTGAAGAAGATTTAGTTTCTTTAGATTTCTTTTTTAAATTTTTTGATCAAATGCATATCAAACAAGAGCTCTGGTCTTAAGAGGTTGAAGGTGCTAAAGCTTGACTTAATCCTGACTCGTCCCAAACTTAAATCTATGAAGAGTTAAGTTTTCTGAGGGCGATCCCTTTCAAGCTGTCACGTACCCTTTTGATATAGTGTTATTATAAAAATATAAATTACAGCCACCTTAAAGTCCCTCTCCAGTCATTGATTTAACCCCTACAAACCTCATCTCTGTCTACATGTGACATATTTTACAGGTATGTTGCAATTAAAAGGATCTCTTTCTGCCTTAAAATGACTTTTATGTAGTCTGACTCATGCAGCTCTCGTCTCTCCACTATCTATATGTTACTGTTTTTACAATCCATTTCACTGAGGGAAACAACAATAAGTAGCAGCCTACTGCACTGAAAATGTAAAGTTTTGCAGAAGATTTGGATTGTGCAGTATGTCGCTCTGCTTTTTTTCCCCTCCACAGTAAGTATGTCTGTGTAGATCCTTAGTCATCCAGGTCATGGTAATGCTAGGATCATTTGGACTGCTTTTGAAAGTCCGTGAAGAAGCCTCTTGGATGAGAGGTGGATAGTCTTCAGGAACCTTCAAGAGAAGTCCAGTTGATTTCTACTGAAGCTCATAGGATTTCCCTGGTAAATTACTCATATAATAATACATACATAATAACAGTGCTCACGTTCCTGTGTGCAAATGTTTCACAAAAATAACCACCCTGTCAGTATTTTGATAGGGGAACCATTTCTGCACCCTTGGCTAAGCTCCACCCAAGACACATCAGATTGGTTGAAAGAAATACAAACAAACTACAGCAGGTTTCCCCCTGTAGCACAATCATAATGAGGAGCAGCCAGACTACTCTGTGCTGCAGAACGGTCTGGCTATGCATCACTATGGGTACACTGAAGTTTTCACTTGGAAACACTGAGCCATGGTGTTGGCTGCATATTTCGCTCATGACACATCTTCTAGATGATAAAAAAAAATACCCTACGGACACACTAACAAGGTGAAAAACTTGATTTTTACCAGAGGGGGTCTTTAAAATGCAAATTCTAAATGTTTTTGCAGAGCAGCTATCACAGCATAAGATGGTGAGGATTTTAGCTGCTTTAACTGGGTGCCACTCTCACTGCGCCATCTAGTTCTTATTATTACCTTATCTTAAAAATTCATTAACAATGAAAGAAGGTAGGGTAATTCGTTGACTCTGATTGGCTGTTAACCAGTCATGTGACCAACCGAGCAAATGAATAAGAGTTGCTCTTCACTGTAATGCCGTTACACTCAGAGAAGACATCTGATACTCTCCAAGTCAGCTCTTTAAAATTGTCGTTCTTAGAGGTGTGATAAATGAGCCCTACCCTGGCTTACCAAGGTTTATTATTTTTCCCAAGATGCATGAATATTAAGAGTGCTAAAGCTAATCAGACAACTGTGGCTATGGGGGGAAAAAAAAAAATCCAACATTTTCTTGACTTACTGACTTGATTGCGGACTTGATTACTAGCCCTGACAAATTCCTGCCTCGTCCAATATGTCATAGAGGCTCCTGGATCTCCTTAATTAATTCGCATTTCAACTCAACTGTAAATTTTTTACTTATTATAAAATATGAGCCTGTGCGAGCTGTCATTTTAATCACTCAGTATTAACATAAATCAAACGGGGATCCTTAAATGAACTCACCTTACTTATTTTTCATTTTATTCGGTCAAATTCTGCTTTAAATGTTCAAATCTTCGCTTTGACCTTCACAAATTCTGACTGAGATTTTACCCTAATGACTCCAGCTACACTGTGACAGCTATCAATGACTCACAGATTCCTTTTTTATTTTTTTGTCTTCCTAGAGCTTGTAAAGCCATTTGGACTAAAATGAGGATACATAAAATCACTGAACCCCGACATTAATTAATGTTTTTCCTCTAGTAGGGGGCATGTTTTCACCGTCTGGAACAAGACCTACCTTACAGGCAAGAGAAAATACATTACTATTTAACACATGTATCTTGGATTTTCTGTTTATACCACATGTGTTTTATATGTACATGTCAGGACAAAAAACAGGCAATGTTCAAAACAGATGATTGGTGGTATTAGTTCTGCAGAAAGCTGGACAGTGACTTCCATCGGCAGATGACAGATTTGTTATTTTCCTGTAAAATAGCTAAAGCTGGATACATCACACTCGGCTTTATAGGTTCATTTGCATCTCAGCCAAAGTCAGTATACATGAGAGTCAAAGCAAGCTGACGAGTATTAATGAAATCTTTAAACAGCAGGTTGTAAATTCATTTAATCGAGTGAGCCGCAGATCAAAAGGTCCCACGCTGTTCTGCCCTTTTGTAAATAAACACTTTCGAAAGCAGCCAAAAGGCAGTTAATTTGTTTCAGATCGGCAAGGACTTGGAAAGGTAGAAACAGCTGAGAAATGAAGAATAGCCAAAGTGCTGAGTGACCAGAAAAAAAGGCGTGCAGCCCACATGTCTGTGTCAGGAGCACTGCAGTGCTACTTTTGTCAAATAGTCCACAGTGTCTGCAGGGACTGAATAGTTCTCATCTAAAAGACATCACAGAGGATGTCAGGCATCGCAATCAAAAAGTTAACTTGTCATGGTGATATCTGGCTTCTGTGCAGATGCTGCATTTGTGCTCTTGATGTGCAATTTGCAAAAATATGACACGCTGCGGTGATAAAGACGTTCCAGCAACTCAGACGTGTGCTGCACTTCAATGTACTGTAAAGTAGCCTCGCTCATAGAGGAGTCATTTAAATAACAATGTCATTGTAGGTTGTGTTTACACAAAATACAGTTAAAATATATTCAGGTGCTCGGTGATGTTTTTTTTAGGGCAATAAAATGTTAATCCGTATCAGTCGCTTGCAGTGACAGTCATGCCTTAAATCCTGTATTAATGGCTCCGAATAGTTCACAGATATTAATATTCTGCATTTAATTTTGTCCTGGAATAAAACATCACATCACTGCCGCCACACACTGCGGTTCCTGACTGAATTCTCTACTTCTTAGTAAAGCTACGAGAGCTCGTACTGTACTTAAATTTTCTATTATATTATTTATATTATACTTTTCCACACCACACATCACAGTTTTACTTTTTACATTATTTATTTCATACCTGGAACTATCTTGAAGATTTCAAAACCTTATAATGAGCACCTACATCTATCTTAAAATTAGTTACTGTACCAATAATATTAACTAGGGTGCGTGATTTAAGCTATCCTGAGTTTTGGCTGTATTGTAAGGACTTTAAATTCATTTTGATATAATTTAAATACTTTTTACTTGAGCATCATCTTGAATCTCTTTCCTACTTTAACTTGAGTAAAAGCTCCTAATACTTCTACTACTGCTGCTTAACATACTGTAGAACACATAATCATTTCTAAATTGTAAATACCTCTGGTTCTGGCCTCCAGCTCCTTTTCCATGAGTTCTTTCTGAGAGGGAAACTCGCTGAGCTTGACCTTGGACATGGTGTCGTTCTGACCGACTGTACTTATCACTTCCGGCTCCTTCTCGTGGCTGTCCTCAGTCTGAACATGGATCCAGGGAATTTTCCTTAAAGGAGACAGCAAAGCAATACATACAAGATAATTAGCTTTGATTTACAGCTAAATTCAATACAGTTTAGTCTCTTATCTGCGTGAACACACCTTTTGAACTTGTAGATGAAGAATGCAGCTAAACCAACAAACACCACACTGAGCAGCATCAGCATGGCCGACCCACTATGGATGGAGTTTGAATCCACAAGTGGTGCTGAAACACAAACACATTAAACCAGCAGCACATTTTGACAAAGACAAATGTGTTAAGCCCTTCCTTTTTTTTTTTTTTCCCCCCTAAATCATGTCGTATTCCAAGGAGATTACTTTCATTACCCAATGTCCTGTACCAACTGCAGGTACAGTTTGAAGAGCAGCTCTCTGCGTGTTATCCCCTCAGGACATTAAAAGGAGCCTTTAGGAGGTCCACTGCTTCTACCTGGGGTGGGTCATGCACTCAGTAGCTTATGCATAGTCATGGCTTTTTAAATGCTGAGATGCAATATTCAAAGTGTTTCCCCCTCAGTCCCCATCTTTCGCTCCTTCAGAGAGAAGCCTATGAAGTCTATGACCTTTCAGGATCATTTTAAAGGCAACCCAGACCTTTGTGTGCAGACAAAATGAAGACAGATCCATTGGTGGATGAAAAGGGTAAAGCCACGCAGGGTTGATCGACAAGTTTTTGCGATATGCTAATGACCTGGTGACCCTGCCGATTTCCTCAGCGCATACCAAATGCCTTCTTTGTCAATCATGTCATTGATCGGCTGATTTCAAAGAGAGCTACTGTCTCACAGCCTCAGGTACAAATCTGTCAAACTGTGAAGGATATTTAAATGCTGTGATATACAATATCATATAAATCTCACCCGGGGAACACAGTTCCTTTGTCTTTGCCTTGCTTTATTTTTTATAGCTCTTGGGTAAAACTCAATGTCAAACCATTCGAAGAAAGACAAATCTTATCTTTTGACAATTGGCAAGCAGAACAAATGCACCGTGGATGTGTAGACATACTGTACTAAACTGGCATAAATTAAGCCTAAGGCCTGTTTGAATGTTTTGTTTTTGTCTACCTGCAAAGGAGTTTCAAATCTAACAACTGCACTAGGGAGCAAAAACAATGTGTTAAGGTTACAGAAAAAAGAAACTTACCCAAGGTTTGCTGAGTCATGTATACAATAATGCGAATGTCAGTTTTCAGTTCAAACTGGACCAGGCCTTGGTTCAGGGCCGTGACAAAAATATCTGAGATCTGTTTCAGGTAGTTAGCACAAAACACAAGGAGAGAGAAAAACATTATGAGACATTAGCATTTCATAATGGTCTCATTATTTCATGAATATCCAATTTATACTTAGAACTTTAAGGAATAGTATAACAACTAAGAAAGTATACTTCTTTGCTTTTTTTTAAACCAAGAGTTTAAGGAAAAGACGAATATCACACGTGTGTCCATTGGTTATGGAGCTCGAGCCAGCAGGCGATTAGTTTTAGCTTAGCATAATGACTGGTTGCAAGCGGTTGGACACTTAGCCTGGCTCTGTCTGCAGCTTAAAATGACAGTGTTACAGTGTGCATCTCCTCCTCGTGCTTTCAGTTTTTATGTTAGTGTGCAGAAAGTGTTAAAGTAAGAAATGCCAAACTATTCTTTTAAGTGTCTTGATTTGTTGGCTCCTCTACATTGCAGATGGTACAGATGGAACATACAAAAATGAAAACGGAGCCAAAGTCAATCAATGTACTCTAATTATGTACTAGTAGACACGATTTGGCACTAGCCTTTACATCCAGAGCTGTCATATCAGTAGCAGGAAACAGCTATTCTTGATAAAAGTTCACATGATATCTAAGCAAACATCTTTAGATATCATGGCTCTTACCCTCTCTAGAGCCTCCTCACTCCTTCTGTTATGCTCACTTGATGTATGCTCATCGGGCAGGATAAAGAGCTCTGCTGTAGTTGGAAGTCCCGGGTACAAAGACACCAGCAGCTGATCTTCGAGAACCCCAGACACCTGCAGTGACAGAACAACACAAAAAGGGAGATATAACTTCACAATGGAGGTTAAAGTTTGGAACTTTGAAGTCTGGATCTGAAAAGATTTTGACACCAGCTTCAATTGAAGATTCACACTGGATAACGGTGTCTGGTTACTGTCATGACAGATAAACTAAAAAAGGCTCACACATGGAGCATAAAGCATCATGACTGCTGTGTCATTACCACGCACAGGTATGAAATAGTAATGACCCTGAAAGCCACTAGCATCCAATGTGGGCTCCAGGAAAGATCTCCCGGGGGTTGATGTACCTGCGACAGAGCTGTCCGCACCACACGGCCTATGTCCTCCCTCCATTCGGGGATGTCAGGATTGTGCTCGTCAAGCGCAGGCGAAAACGACAACAGCAGCGACCTGAAGAACTCTGGGAAAAAAAAAAAGAAAGGTGAAGCGATGTCTTTTAGAATATGAATGCTACTTCTGGTTTAGTTTTTGATTAATCTGATGTGCAGTTTTGTCTTTTTTCATTTGCCAACATACGCCTTGAAGTTAATTGCTCCTCAAGATTTTGTGTTCGCATACCGTGACATTTTATTCATTAGATAAGTCCACGCTGACATCAACGTGGCGCCGTTCGCAGCGCTGACCGAGAGGCATCACACTTTCCCAGAGATAGCACATTGCATATTCATGTATCGTGCATCTCTCCAATTAAAGTGCTTTGAAGACTGTCTCCCTCACTCACCTTTAACAGTTATAACTTTGGAATCCTGCAGTACAGTGCTCCCAGAAGCAACCTGGACCGTGACCTTGTTTTTTCCCTCTTTCTGGAACGTGTATGAGATGCTTCCTTCCAAGGTTATAATGGGCTGGATTTCAAAAGGAGAAAAAAAAAGAAAAAAAAAACACAGAGAATCGCACAGAAAAACCTGCATCCTCTCTGCTGAATATAGAATGCTACGTACATGCAGCCCTTGACATACTGTATAATGAGGGGGTGCTGCAGGGAACACAATCAACGTGATAAATAAATATGACCAGCCATCCTCTAGGAAGACACCGGGCAATCACGTGCGGTTTTACATGATTTGTGGGGAAGCTCTGTCGATTTACACTTTCAGATTGTAAACAACACCACCAGGACATCAAGGAGAGGAGGGGGGGGGGAGTGGAATAATGGAAGGATGGCAGTAAACAGGACAAACGCATTTGTGGGAGAACAGTGGGAAGAAGAGGAGATAAGCTTCTCACCTCGGAGCTGTTGTCAAACCACCAGAAGAAGGTCAACGTTCTGGGGTGGCTCGGCCAAACCACCGCAGTCAGATTAGCCTCCTTCCCTCTGATGGCTACAATAGGAGCGGAGAGATATACACGCTCCACTGGACCTGAGGCGGCGACACATACACCAGCACATATCCATACATGCATCAAATAAATGCACGCAGCAAACACCGACTATTATCACAATCGCAGCTGATGCACATTTAGCTCCAGGTGTGTGCTTTTGCATTTGCCGAGACTAAAATACATAAAAGTAACACAAGCATGACTGAAATGGAATTCAGCAGAGTGGGAACGTGACTATCCATGAAAGAGAAGAGGTTTTAGCTACATGCACTGCCGCAGGAATCAGTAATGATGTTTCTTATTCACATACTGGTGATGTGTAAAAACAGTGTGCTGCTGTCAGATCCCTGGCTGTTTTCCGCAGAAGCTGTCACTCGGTAAATCCCAGTCGCTCTGTAGATGTGCTTGATGCCATCATCAGTCCTGCTCAGGTTAGAGTATGTGATCTTGATGCCGTCCCCAAAGTCGAGCTGGATGCTGGTTCTCAGCGAGTCTCCCTGTGGACAGACAGGGTGACATAGCATCTGTCACTGAGGCTTAGGTCGGGATCCTTCACTTAGACCACATACAAGCGAAGAAAGCTCAGCCCATTCCTAAAAGTGTCGCGGCTGAGACGTCCTATAAGCTGTGTCACAAGCACTTGATAGGTGAATATGAATGGAAGGAGACAGATATTCAACCGAGAAAAACAAGTGGAAAAGTAAAAAGAGAGCAACAGAGGCAAAAGAGGTCATGAAAATGTCCCAAAGAAAGAAGGATGTGTTTATAATCTGCTGCCATTTTGCCAGCGAACAAAAATCATTCAAAACAAACATATTGCCATTATTGAAGTGTTTTTCATCCAGATTCAAAAACACGCTGATAATTAACTCTGGTTTTATTTATGTAGGCTTTGAGATATCTACAGTGTGAGACTTCGATAGGTCAAGCTGTATTTGTGATGCTCACAGCAATGGAAAATCAAAGTATTCCATTAACAGCCTGTCAGGAGTTTTTAGGCAACCTTTCAGAAAAAGAACTTCCAATTAAATCTGTAAACATGGTGATCTGAAGATTATCTGAAGATTATCCAGGGTAATGATACTGGGGATGCCCTGACTCTTCTTCTTGCACCATTACTGTAATAACCAAAGACTGTATATAAGGAGGGGATTAGCTTCTGCATCTGAAAAGGGAATCCAATGCATAAGTGATTTAAATCTGCATTCTTTCTAATGGCAAGCAGGGGGCGACTTCTCTGGCTGCAGAAAAAAGTGCAATTACACAGAAGTAAATGAGAAAATGATCATCCTTCTTTCCTGATTTGTTACCACAGAAAACATTTTCCTGATTAATTTATGGTCTTCATTACTAGTTTCAAGTCTTCTTCAATGAAGTGTCGTGTCCATGTTGTGAATTTAGGTCCCATTCAGTGGAAAATTGGTGATAAAGCAGAGTTTGCTGTAGGATGTGGCTACGTTGTGATTGACAAGTTGCTAATGTGTCCGTCTGCGTAGTGTCCTCGTGTTCTTCTTGCCATGGATTCAAATGATTATCATGAAATCGTCCAATACTTTTGTTGATGATCTAACACCGCGATGTTAGTTGTGTTGGTATCTACAAATATTTACTGCACTGCTGTGGAATGTGGCACAGATATTTAAAGTCTCAAGGATAACTGTCCTCATGATGATCCAAGATACTATTGGGTGCCAGCAGCTGATTATCAGTTCTTCAGGTTTCCACTGAAATATCTTTGCATCCATTTGATAAATTTAAACATAACTTTGCACGGATGCTCATTATCACGATGAAGCTGACCTTGTAATAAATATCTAGTTAAATCATCAGGGCAAAATTCAGACTATTTATTGCTTTATGACGGTCAGACACATGAAAAAAATATTCATCCAATCATCTTCAGTTGGGTTTTGTGCTAATTCGAAAACGCTACCACGCTAAACATTGATGGCATGCAAACGAAATCAACGCGAGCAAGTTGGCACACTGAGCATTGTGCTAAAGCTCGGCGGCAGACAAACACTAATACATGTGTGGGGCTGCTCTCAAGGTGGGTTGGTTGAAATTAGATTGAACAGACATTTTAAAACAGTTCTTGTTCCTTCAAACACTGGTGATCCCGAGGTGATTTGACTCACATCATCAAGGTAGACCATGAAAGTGACGTTGCTTCCAACAGCAGCACTGAGCTCTCCCTGACTGGTGGACAGACGGAGGCCTCGGGGTGCTCTGGGACGACATGTCTCCCTCCTGGGCGAGTATACGTTCCTTCCCGTCTCCTTACAGTTATTGGACAAAACCTTGCGATACCTTTGAAGCGTAAAGGTAAAAATGAAAGACAAATATTGTGGCATTCGATGCTAACAGAATACAGCATGAGCACACAACATACATACTTTGGAATTAAATTCTTCACAGAGAGAAAGCAAAATGTTTTTCCAAAGTTTTAACACTTTTTGATGTGTTTCTGGAGGTGTCATCACCATCCACTGTATTTTCTAATTCTTTCCACTTGACGAGCTTCTTCTTCAATTTCTTTTTCACAGTTCATTGTGGGACAAGAGCATCCATTAACAGCACAGCCCGTGAGTGTACTTAATTTTGTCACTATTTGAGAGTGAACACGCCGCATAACCAAACCCTGCTTTGCATTATTGTATTATGGAATTGGGACACAGTGTAGGTTACATTTTTCAGCTCTCAGAGTTTTATTTCAGAGCCAAGTGGCAGTAAACCATTATTTCCTGTTTGCATTCTACACAACATGACAAACAAGGTGGAATGGAATAATATTGTTTTGTGATGGACTGAACATTGGGGGCCACTTACCCTGTGCTGTTAAGGAAGCTTTGGCTGGTGCTGCAGCTTTTAGCCGCACCATTTGGATTAAACCAAAAAGCCGGGGAGCACTTCCCATCCGCCTGGCGCTCCCAGCCATAATCACTGCCAGAAAAAGAAACAGCATAAAAAAAAAAAAAAACACAACACTTCATGAAATGATAAACACTGTTACTCAAAATAATCTAGCTTCTACAAGCTTTTGTAGTGGGGCAAATGCTTTGCAGTTAGAGCTTCATGGCATATTTTAAGACTATAACTAGAGACATGATTGTCAGACAAGCGGGATCAAAGAGAATTTCAGACAGATGGATAAAAGATATTTAAAATTCATTTAACGATTCATTATTAATTGAATTCTAATAAGTCACTTGACATTATGCAAATTACAGGAGCATGATGAAAAGTTCTTAACTTCCATCTCCATTTTTCACACTATAATTAGATTCGATGAATACAGCCACATTGGTTATCTAGTAAATATGCAATGAAAGATGGATATTAAGGCATATGAAGTTCTGCAAACTGATACTTCTGGTTTTTTATTACAAATGTCGACAAGGAGCCCTAATTGCGTACGACTCGAATTAGATATTCAAAGTAGAGGAGCTGTTTGGTAAACATGTAATAAAAGAAATTAAAGAACCACTGGGGGAAAATGTCTCAGTTACAGTATAGTCCCAGCTGGAAACCCTGAGAGAAAGAAGTCATTACCATTCAAAATCATAGGCTGTGCAGAGGCATGGCTCTGAGGAATAGATCCGGGAATAGTCCTGGGCCAGCATGCAACGGTTGCCTGGCCTGCGCTTCATATAGATCTGCTTCTCGCCCATTACACACAGCTCTCCCTATCAGACAAAGAAAAAGATGATCTAGATTTTCCAGAAAGAAACTCTGGAAATTCACAAAAGCAAGACAGGTAAAAAAGGACTCGGGCATTAAGTGAGCGTACAAAAACAGATCTCTTGAGGCTGACAATAAATCAGTGATGTTTAATATTCCTGTTACCTTGTTGTGCAGGTACCACGTCTGATAATCTCCATCCATGCATCTTCTGTTAAAGAGGCCCTTGTAGTCAATCTTGATCAGCTGCCACTCTGACCGATGGCTGAAGTGTCCAAAGAAACTGGAAGGTGATGCATTAAACAAATTTTCAGCTGAGACAATCCTGAGACACGGATGCACGGTTGTCTGATATGATGCGCAGCACCTGCGAGTCTGAAGTCTGTCATTTACGCTGACAGATGAGACAACCTGAGATTCCCTTTGATGGAAAGTTTCAGTCACTGGGGAAAAGCTGTTGGACCTGTGTTTGTTTACATCAACAGAGGAACTAATTCTTCGAGCCTGATGTTTGTTTTATTGCTTCCGGACTGTATCTGTGTGTCTCTGCTTACGTGATAATGTGGTTGTCAGATTCTGGCTCCATTAAAACTCCATCCACATACAGAGGTGCCAAGGAGAAACTGTGGCGGTCCCATTTCTTTCCTTCATCTAGACTGATCCTGCATAAAAAAAAAGACAACAACTGTCAATGCATGAATATCTATCTCTACTTGTTAGTCTGTCAGTGGTGGATAAATATATTGTTTGCTCAATGCATGTGACATTAAACATCCGAAGCACACAGGTTGAGCAATGAAGGAGGAGGTGCAAAGAAATAGTAATTTAGCTTTTGCCATGGTTGAAAAATGAAACGCCTTGGATTCTCTGCAGTGTGAAAAATTATCTCAACAACAGGCTCAACAATAGGACAAATGTTCCTCGGCCCAGGTAAATTTTTTGAAGGTGACAACACAACAGAAAAGAGAGATATGACTCAGGTTGTAACATTAGAAATAGATTTGGGGGGTTTCAAATCGCCTTTCTCGGAGCTTAATCACTTTTGACAGGGCTGTAGTGTGCAGGGACATCAAAGTAGATAGTGTTACAAAGCTCCCACAATATGAGGGACTTATGAGGGCATTCTGTCTCATATTTCCACCCCGCTCTACTTCTCATTTACATAAAAGCACTCAAACCATCATATCCAACCAAGAGCACAAAAGCTGTAACACACTCTCTTCTGTTGGAAATGATTCTGACAGTTCTGAAGCCGCAGTGCCGATACAATTATCATGCAAACTTGGCCCATCAGCATTTCAAAACATTAAATGTAATCATATACTGCATCAAAAAAAAAAAAAAAAAAAACCCGAAACCAACATAACACCGAGGTAATTTCCCACTACAACGCCAACACCTACAGTTCCTACTTACGGTAATTATGGCGCCAGCTATTGTCAAAGACAAGCTACACCTACCACAAGTGTCGAATCGGCGTTGTTGCATGTAAAACTGCCAGCAAAGCCCCTCCGTTGTCAAGAAACCAAATGTTGTGCTCCTCATCGAAAATCTGCGTTGGTGCACGATGGGAAAAAAGCAACAAAAAAACCCAACAAAACATCCACATTTGTTCCACTTGATTACACTCCGTTTTTGACATGAATGCATCATCTGTTTAAGGTAAACACAGGCAGCGTGGAGATGGGTCTTACCTGTCTCCAGCTATTTCCTGCATCTGATGTTATAAACATCCCAAGGTTGGTAGAGGACAACTCTGTTCCAATATTCCCTGAGTACAAAAACATGAATAATTTCAGTCGGTGTGTATTTACATAGCAAAGATTCCATAACACACCTATACGCACAATCAGCGGATGAAATCGTTAGAGTTACTTTGCGAATCTGTGCTCATTTTCCACCGTAGGACGAGTTTATGACTTACCGCAACCTAATCATCTCACCAAAATATGAGGTTTAGGAGCTGAAGTTTCCGTATTCGATTTCAATGACAGAAAGAGGGCACTATGTGATTAATTTTGTGTGTTCTTGTGGTTGCATTGCTGCAATATATTCGAGATGTCTGAAGTCTCGTCACTTTAGATGCATGCCTTTTAGGTAACTGTACCTGTAGCCACAATGATTCCCGGTACAGACTTTTTGCTGGTGATGGGTCCAGATGTGTAGGGATTCTCTGACATCTCCAGATGAAGATGTAGCGAGCAAAACGGCTGTCAACAAAAAACGGATTCCAATATAGCACAAGTTGAGACAATATGGATCTCAGATCTTAACAGAAGCAATTATAATTAGCTTTGCTTTGAAACCATTCTTCCCATTGAGAGAAAAGTGCCAACATTTTCAGAGACCATTTATAAAACAAAGATACTTTGTTCCTCTCATCTCGTTTGCCAGAAAAAAAGAAGAAAAAAAAAAACAGAAAATGGCTGAGAGGACACAGAGGGCATTTGAATTGTTTCATTCTAAAGCAAACAAGGCATGTAATTAAAATTCCCCGAGATGCACTGATAAATCTGGCAAAATTGATTCAAATCATTTCACTCATCTCTCCCGCTAAAGCGCACTGAAAAACATCAATAAGGCTTTTCAAACAGCGGAGGATGAGGTGGGGGGGGAGGGTCAGAAAGCAGACGAGCACAGTGGTCATTTATGCACCACAGTGGAAGACAGTAACCTGCTGCCAACCGAAGAATATACATTATTTCAAAAACCTTAAAGAGCATACTGACTGGATTAGGTGGAAGTCATACCTGCTGAATGACAACACAGTCACGTAATGTAATGCAGTGTAATCTAGTATTCATTAGTGCAGTGTGACTACAGGTAGTAAATTGAAATCACAGAGGTTAATGGAAAGCCCGGACCCTGAAAGAAAACGCGGTGACACTCTGTGCCTTACACCGATAATAAGAATATTCCAGCCGAGCATCTCCTTGGCCATTTAGGAGGTTATAAAGGCGCGCTGAAGCCGGCGCTGGCACCTGGCCTCGTGCAAATATGGCTCCGAATCAAAGAATATCCAAAGCACAGCTGATGAGGTTGAAACATTTGATGAATGATATATGTCACAAGCTTAATTTTGCATGAATGAGAGCATTCAGTCACTCCTGCCCAAAGGCTCGAGCTCACCAGAATGCAGTGAAGGTTATTTCCAGCCACATCAGCGGCGGGAGCTGGCAGCAGGGCCCATGTTTGTCCCTTGTTGTATGTGATGAAAGTCTTGATGTGACTATCCACCAGTTTGTTGGCAAGATACATCCCATTTATCCCCTCGACCTATGCAGGAAAACAGAAATAATGCAGTTATCATGCAGGTACTTTGACAATCTTTAACTGCTTTAATATGCAACATATGTATATTTTCTATGAAAAAGGAGTAAAAGCATAAAATAGCTTAAAAATCAATTCATCACATGAAAAATACGTATTACATCTGAAATCAAAGTGAATCGACTTTGCCTTAAATACAATCACAGGTTAACAAATCGAGGTTTTCCTTGTGGATATACTGTGTTAGAGCTGAAGGGGGAATTAATGGTGAAGCACCAGCAGCTGACCGTGAACAAGGCTAACTACACACCTTATAGAAGTCGACCAGGAGGTTACCAGAGGGTCCCCTGATGGTTCTCAGATTCTCTAATGAAAGGATGAAGTAGACCCCGGGGGAGTCTGAGATATAGAGGCTGTAAGTGTTGTTCTGATTCCACTCCTGGACGGCAGCAAATACCTGCTTCTCATCTGTGCTGATGATATGCATGTCCTGTAGGAGGATGTGGGTGAGACAAAAAAAAAAAAAGGAACAGATGGAAAAAGAGAGAATGACAGGTGCAAGTGAGCAAACACAAAGGAGCCATATAAAGAGAGGCCATGCACTGTCTGTTTAAATATCATAAGTGCGACATTTCTTTACACAATAACAGTTGTATGGCTGCAGAGAAAAAACAAAAAAAACACAATGATTCAAAACAGAAAATGTCTGTCTTTATGATAATACATCTTTTATACTTTGATAGTAGCTCGGTGTGTTTGTCGCTTACCTTTGGCAGGCAATATTTAGGCAATTTCATCCGCTTGAAGGATTCTCTCATGTAGGAGACAAAGTAGCTGGTTCGTCCTGACTTGGTTACCTTTGAAGTGAAGTTAAAGAAGCTTTGTCACTCTCTAATTAGACCACATGGAACCATTTTAGTGTCCCAGAGGAACATTTTTTAAAAACTTTTTTAAATCAAAAAGCAGTTTTTAAGTAATGCAGACATAACAAAATGTATAGATCAATGATTTTCCATTGTTCACGTCCATTTCAAATAATGATATGGGTATGATTTATATGTTTATTCAACAGAAATGCCTCTGTAGATTGTCAGCAGGATGAAAAAAAAAAGGATGTGAGTTTGGTTTTGACAAGACATACAGTACTGTGCAAAAGGTGTCAAAAAACAAAGTGAAGTGTGTCTAAAATTATGACATTAGTAGTTTTTTCATTTGATAAAGTAGTGACAAAAGAAATCTAAATGAAACCAATAGTTCTCTGAATCAAACATTTTTTTTTTAGCTACTTGGCTTTTCGGTTTTTCCAGCATTTCGAAAAACATGTCACAGATTTAGTCTTTTCCGTCGTCTTCTCTCTTTTTCAGCGCCACCAAACCAGCCTAAAATTGCCTTTTTTCCTCCCCGCTAATATTTTGCACAGTAATGTATGAGAATCGACCAGCTTCCCAAATGGTAACCCTGCTGTGAAGCTGAAACATCTCCTGAAGGATGTATATTAATTCACAACGCATGACTGACTTGATAAACCACTTGTAATTTTACTCCACTTTCCACAGCGTCAAAAGCAGACTAAAATTACAAGCACAACAGAAATTATTATCATTATCTCAATTAGTTTAAAGCTAAGAGGCACTGAAAATTGTGTTGGCTTTATCTACAGTGCGTCTTGAAGATCTTAATGCACTACCACTTTCCCATCCACTTACAGGCAGGGCAACGCTACTTGATTGCTTATTTTCTAATCAACTAGAAGGATGGTGTTTGTCCCCCAACACACTACATTAGGGCTCTAATGGAATAATCTATCGAAAATCAATGAGCTGCATTTTCCCAGGCCACATTTTTGAGGATGTTGCACTTGGCTGTTCGTTCTCTCCCAAGAGACTTTGGAGGTGTTGAAGACTGCTTATTTCGTTGTAGCCCGAATCGATAACCTCATTACTCTTTGTCAAGTTAAATCCAACTGCCCCAAGCAATGAAAGTCACAAGAAAGTCATCTGTGCCACCACAGCTCGGCACAGACACTCTCTGTGTGTCCAGTTATTTTCACCAGCGTCTTCCTCGTGTCTGCCTCTGCCTTGACGGTCAATCTCATCTCGGCTAAATGCAATTTGGGCATTTTATTGAATCACCATCTCTGAATCACGCTGTGATATATTTTTTTCATACATTTTCATTCTTATATCGTAGCCATTCCAATCAAGTCTGTGGATTAAGTGTGTTGAAAGTGAAACTGGGTCACAGCTAAAGTATTGCTGCTGCAACATCATACCATATCAAAAGATTAAATCTGTGGATAAATAAATTAAAAAATGAACGGCAAACATTTTGGGGTGTTTATTCAAAATGAAAGCGTGCAGTCCTAGAAAACTGCCACCGTTTTGGAGCTGTATTTTCTTGAAACTTGGCTGGAGCCAAATAAGAATGACCAAACGCATCAAGCCTGACCAACAGAGAGGAAATTACTTAGCTGTGGATGGAAATCAATGACAGCGGAGGGCATTTGAAAATTAAATTTCTAATAATGACCCTGACTGCGGCTGTCTAATTGGAGTCAAAGTCAGAGTGAATGATAATAAGGACACTAACCTGTCTATTCACAGTTCCTTTGCCGTGTGCTCTCAGCGAGCAAACACATTTTTCAGGCATGGAGTATGTCTGTGCGGAAACTCAAACACTGAGTGTGCCTTGACATGAACGAGACAAAACATAATCAAAACACCCATCGGGATAGTGGGGGAACAGGTGTGTTGGGAAAAACCATTATGTGGGTTTTGATGGAAAAAAAAGCATGAATTGGGTGCAGAAGAGAGCAAAATAAAAACAAAAAACAAAAAATAACAAGAAAAACCAAAGTTCGCAGACACGGCAGACTTTGCATGAAAAGATGCAGACAACTGGCTTTGTTTGCTCTCAACAAAAGTAATCTATTACTACGCAAACCTGAGTGAAAACATATTCATCCTGCACAACTAGTGAGTCGGTGTCAACGTGACCAGGGAAGAGGTACTGTCTGTTGCCTTCTGTGCACCGTGGGGCTCTGCACTTCACGTACTGAGCACCTGGAAAGGGGCGAAAGGAAATCAATCAGAAGTAAATTACAACCACTTACCTTCAAACAGTACTTCTTTATGTACTGGAACTGCCATACAGTATGTAAATGCTAAATCCATTCCAAGTTCGGCGCTCTGAAACAATTTTAAACTCAGGTAATATTCAAACACTGACACTAGTCAGTTGGCACTTTTAAAATCCAAATTAGCTGAGTTTCAAGAACTTGAAGCTCCTGCAGTGTGTCACGCTACAACAAAAAGTTCAGGATGTTATTGTGTGAGACAAGAGGAGTTTGTATGCTAATTCAGATACAGATTTTCTCACCACAGGAGGAATCTGAGTATCTTTTCCAATGCAGGAAACTCCTATAATTGGTTTGACAGAATATACCACGCTGTTTAGAAAGGGAGAGCTGAGGTTTGTCTATGAAACACAGGGGATAGATTAGGGGGAAGAAACATCCATCAGCCCACTAAAACTCTCTGTTTTTGTCAGGAGACACCTATTCTGTTTTACTCGACTTCGGGGACCAATCTGAACAGCAGAACAGGTCTCGTCTTGGCCGTGACCTCGCTCTAAATGAGAGGCAAAAGGGTCCTGTGGGTCTTGCTACGGCAGCGATCTGGAGTGCAGCACTCACGGCCTTTCCCGATGCGCGTCTCGATGTGGACCACATCTGATTCTCTGTCCAGCCCCATTACCGCCCTTAAAAGAAGAGGAGGAGGAGAAGATGGAGAGAAGCAGAAGAACGGTGGCGGGTAAGAAAAGGGAAAATGAGAAAATAAAGAAGAAGAGTGGGTGGCTGGGTTGAGTATCACAGCTGCAGATGGACATCCCTATTTTGAGACAGCCGTAACAATATGTTTTTATCTTGTGTAAATCAGTCAGCGTAGAATCTGCAACACCAGCGGCAATTAATCTCAATTCACCAAGGCATCAACAAAGGAAACAACAAGGGGAAGAGGGGTGTTGTTGTTGTTGCGGGATGTTATGAAATTGCAGACGCCTGCAACACCATTTTGAAAAATAACTATTTGACATAATGTGCGTTAAGGAATAGAACTCAAGAGCAAAAATAATGCATTGTTTCGTGGGCTGCTGTCCCCGCTGTGCTTTTCTGTTTTTATCAAACATCTCACTGTTCATGCATGTGGAGAGGATGTCCTCCAACCAACGTCCTTTCGTTCCCAGCTAAAACACACTTGGTTTGACACATACCATGACAAACAGGGATAAACGGGCTCACATCAATATTCACTGCCTTGTGCCAGCGCAGACTAAATGACAGCGACAACAAAAACAGCATGTCATGTTTGCTATGAAAAAAGAAGCACAATATTCCTTCAGGTCTACGTGACACGGATATAATCAGTTGTGTGCTCCGCTGCAATGGAGGAGATCTGCTTGTGACAAGAGGTCATGGGATCCTTCTGACAGCATAGGGTCAGGAACACTATCATTATGCAAATTACAATCAATCACTGCAGAAAACAGTTCAAAAATAGGATCCAGATAATCATACCAGTAGAATCTGCCTGGCATCACGTTGTCGTGAACCAGCTGCCATTTCCTCCCGAAGTCCATTGAACTGTACAGCTGCAAGACAAAATTAGGCCGATCTCAGTCACACTTCGTCACACCATCATCGAATCCACGGAAACAAAAACTTGAAAAACGCTAATGGGTTCAGCATACACAGATTACGTTATTTGCATTTGAAGGTTCATCGTGGATTCACTGAGAGGCTACCTTGCTATCATGACTGCAAGCCAGTATCCAGTCCTCCTGTGCAGGGTGGAAGAGCAGGCTCAGGATGTTGAAGTTAATGGGATGCTTCTCAAAGCTTGCCCCTTCATCTGAACTGATGAGAACAGCGCTCTCTACCTCTGGGTCGCTAAGCATCATTATCTAAAGTACAGAGGGGCCAGACGAGGGATATAGCATTAGAGGAGGGAGAGCGAGAGAGACAGAGATACCGTCATTTGGCAGCAATTTTAAGAAACTGTAATTTGATGTCAGGAGTGAGCTTATAAGAGATCAGACGGAGAGATAAAAGCAACGGACGATGCTGACCTTCCGCTTGTTGGTCGGGCAGACATACAGGTAACTCAAAACCGTCCTTGAACCCACTTTGTCATTGAGTTTGGTGTAGGTGCTGCCGTAATCAGAGGATCTGGACACAAACAAAAAACAAAAAAACAAAAAACATTGCATGTTTGATGAAGAAATCCATTAGACACAGATTTAGCACCGTAGCAGCGGTTTGGCATGCTTTAGTCCATTAACTGCAAATCACTAATTCTTTACAAGACTGCCTTTCCACAGCATATCGCACGTTCCGAGATTGATTTTCTACCATTTAGGCAGCCTTTTGCTTTAAGGGATGGAAAAACAACTTGCAGAGCCTAAATTCATGCTAATGTAGTTTTTTTTTTTGTTGCTCTTGTAGTATTAAGAAACGTGCTGCACCAAAAAAAGTGCCATTACTCTGCCAGTCTATCTACCGTATGTGCACCAATTATGAACCAAACCAAATATGAAAAAATATGCAGAGGGTGGCGGTTGAATAAAAAGCAGACCTTTCAAGTTGTCAGTGATGCAGAGCTTCTTTTTTTTTTTCCTACAGAAATGTGCTTTGCAGACAGACAGATAAAATAAACCACTGATTAAGTAAACCTTGGACCACTAGCGAGGGGAATTGGATGAGTGGGTCCCCACTTTGTTTACTAAAGCCTGCTGGATGTTGCCGACGCTAGCCTAAAGAGTCACGCCCTAATTTGCATAGCTGTACAATACAAACAGCAAATCAAAAGAAAAAAACATCAAGCTGTAATTAACTGTCTCTACCTAGCTTTGACATTAATTCTAGCCTAATTTAACACTCCAATTTCAATATATGTAGGTTGTTGATTGGAGAACTCAAACATCACGAATAAAGAGGATCCTGAAACTCACTCTTGTGTTTTGAGGAACAAAATAAGCGAACAAAAGTCAAGGAGTCGGCAACAAGCTGCTAAATTAAGGACACTCGTGCACACAAACAAGCTGCAGAAAAGGAGATACAGCCCTGATCTTATAGAAACGTAGTGTTACTGTGGCAATAGTGAGACGATACTGCAAGCACGCCTTAAAAGCAAGAATGAACGACCGAAATCAGATGCAGAGAAGGCTGACATCAGCTGGTGAAAATGAAGCAGCACTCAAAGCAAATTAATACATTTGCCTCAAAGATTAGTTGGCTACAGTGTACGGCATCCCACAGTTTTATTCCACCAATCAGCTACTGGTGACAGCAACCCACCAAGAAAGAGCGATACGCCAGACAAAAAGGATGGAACACACAGCTGCAAACCAATTTGGATGTAAACAATAGAGCTTTCAAAATATTTCCCCCCCAAAAAATCATATTTGCAAATATTTTAGGAGGAATGAAAAGCTTTAAACAGGCTTGTTAGAGCGCACGAATACACACAAGGCATTCTGGTGAGCAATACTGAATGTAAATATAACTATGTTTACAAGGAAACTCCACAGGGAACCTTTAGCATTTTGCAAAAATTTAAGGGGAAAGTATGTTGTCACTGTGCGGTAATGCATTAGCGCAAAGGGACTAATTTGAAGACTCATGCTTGCTGCTGCATTAAAGGAGGCTAAAACTCTAATGGTCTTTGACAACAAACAAGAAAATATGGATATCAAGAGAAACATAATCTGTTTAACAGCTTTGGTATATTTCTGCATTAAAAAAGGTTGGCATATTAATTGGACAGTTCCTATTCATAGCAGCAATAATGTAGCTTTGACAAACACGTCATGCAACTAAATATTCATTCATCACATGTCAAGCAAGACCCTGCAAGTCTTGGCAAGCTGATTTTCATGCTACACTGACATGAAATGAAAGCAGAGGCTGCCTGCAAGGTAGGAAATCAATTTATGAGGCAAAGGTATGCGTTTGAAAAGGCTCAACGGTAATATGGCTGAGTACAGTAAATGCAATTTGTATTTTAAGGGCTAAAACATCCAGCATTGCCAGTCCTTGAATTTAACGTCATTCTGAGTGATGAACACATCGTAAGCTTACAGTATATAAGGAATAACTCTCCTTTCATATGAGCAGATCCTTGTATGTTGAAGACTGTGAGGGAGGAATTTCTGAAGACATCCTTTCAAGTGCAGTGGTGAAATCCCCTTTCACACAGCTTTTTATCTTAAATAAGAGCCAGAATGGCCTTTTGTTCTCACTGCTTTCAACTGATTTAGATATTCAGTTTCATCCTCTTTCATTCAGTTTTCTTTTCAGTAGGTAGTGTGGTATTCTGTGTAACAAATTAGCCAGACAAAAGTGATATGTACACACTCACCGTGAGAGATGTGATGAAAATAAAAATTCCCAAAAAAAGAGAAAAATAAATGAGTAAATGACCCGTTTCTTGGCCTTATTTATAAAAGGGACATTTAAATCTGTAGCAACATGTTCAGATACTTCCACTTCACAGAACTGCATCCCCCGACAAGGGTAGATGTGTTTGTCATTCCAATCTTCATATTTCTTCTCACCACAAACAGCGATTCCGAGCTCTCAGTTCTACCTGAGTGCCTCCAAATGTAATTTCACTGTATAATTGGATAGACATCCAGTGTCTGCTATCATTGTCTGCGCATTAACTTGAATCGTCCCATTTGCTGTTGACATTGTTTTCAGAGACTTACCCCTAAACACATTTGTATTTGTGCTTAAGTACTCCTTTCAGTTGGGCTAGCTGTCTTTGATTGCGGCGGCAGAAGAAGGCCTCTTAAATGATGTTATTACATTGCGGTAGTTCTTTAGCAGAAAAGACAGTCATCTCAAAACACAAAGAGACTTGACGCATGTTTAGATAGCTTCTGCAAGTCACCCATTGATCTGCGCGTTGCATTTTGCCACCAACAGAGGCCCCGAGCTGTAGCTATAAATCATTTATTGTGTTATCACAGAAATCATTTACTCCCTTTTCTTTTCATAACATTCAAATCTCTGATTTTCTAATACCCATACTAAGAGCCTTTGTGCACCCCCTGAGGTACACTCTAATTTACTTGTGGTGCCATTGTTAAGCAGACACCTTGATGATGGAAGACCTCCTGTACACAATATGGGATTTCAAAATGTGTCAAGTCGGGTGTAAATCTTAGTGGCGCCTCTGGTGAAACAGATATTAATTTGAAACTCTATGCTTGGCGGACTGATGGTCTCTTTTTCACGTGTATTTCAGAATGAAATGAGTTCTCTGCAGGCTATGAGAGAGGTGAGAGAAAAGGCATATCAGAGGTTGGATTGGGCTCTATGGTATAATCCTTAATGAATTCCATTCTTATTTATGACCTGACAGGGCACTGTAACTCACCTCTCAATACATACTGAATGAAATTACTACGGCTATATAGTAGCAATTGCATGTCAATTGCTTCTGAAACAAAAGGTTACAGACGACAATCAATCACAAACTCCATCAGAAAGTTTCTAGGTCAGAGGAAAAGCACCGCAGATCCAAACACAGAATCTCTCAGATCAGTCTTCCGGTTTATCTTTCAGAAATAGCCTTTCAAAAAGTTTCTTTGCTGATGATGGACAGAAAATAGGTTGTTTTTAAAAGGTTGCTCTGGTGTTAGTGGTGTTATTTATGGGACTGCAGGAAGCAAAGAGGAAGCAGGTTCAATCTGAACTACTTCAGAACTCTTTATTAAAACATATTTCATATTGGCTTCCAGTGAAACTTGATTGTTCATATCCTAGCAAGGGGGAACACTATAAATCATACTTACAGGATACAGCACTCCCTATGAATATATTATTCTTATTGTTTTTAGGCCTGTGCTTTTGCATTTTTATAAAATTCCTGCAATGATGCCATAACCTTTCTATTTAGATGGAAAAGGAAAAATGGCGATGATTAAAAAGGGAAAACTTACCTCCACAGCGAGCTCTCGGTAACGGCCCCCAGGTTGAAGTCATACAGCTTAGTCAGGATCAGGATCACCTGCACCAGAACAGCAACAGACTTATTTAATTACATGCCAAGGTCTGAATTTTTTTAAAAAAAGCCTTTGCATAAATGCCTCCACTGCACACATTACCTGTCTACTCCTAATGATGTGGAATAGATAGAACATGTCTGCTACATTTCCTTACTAATAAATATCAGCCTCATACAGTATGTTATCCCTATGACAAGTGATCCTCATGTTGTCAGGAGACGTCGGTCTACTGGTGGCAGGATCTGAAAAAAATCCTTGTGGGCTGTCAAGAGTTGTGTCTGTATCTCATGTGGAATGATACCTACATGACAGCAAAATCTGAACATAATTGTTCAGTGAACAATAAAAAGAAATGCAGTCAGTGGCTGCACTGTATCACCCTCTCTCATGCCCTTTTTCTCTCTTTCTTTTCTTTTTTTTTTTTAAACTTGTACCCCACATTTACTTGCAAAATACTTAGCTGCACAGCACAAACAAATGTTGATCTCTAATGCTGATGGTACATGTTGTGTTGTGCCATTTATTTTACTTGTTGGAAAATGTTCAGTTCCAGTTTGCTATGCTTTCGCGTGTTCTCTGAGGATGGTTGGACAATGTGTTTCTGGGGAATCAAAAAATGCGGCCCATAAAAGCCTGCCAAGGCACAGAGGGCAGAGTGAAATGGTGTGCAAACGCATTATTGTCACTTCAATGGCATTATAAATGACTTCCCATGGGGATACTCATAATTCAGGAAAGAAAGAGGGGTAGGGAGGAGGAGTTTGGGGCATGGGATGAAGAAAAGGGAGAAGGAATGGTTGATAATAACAATCAAGGAGTGGAAACATGACACAATATGACGATTTGAAAAAAAAAAACCCAGAAAGATAGGTCAAAAGCTCAATTACAGTGAGTTTAAACACATTAACCTTATGGGACCCATGGAACGAGTCATTAAACTGTGAAAAGCCACACAAGACTCGGAGGAACAAAGGCACGCCTGTAAGTCTGCTTTGAAAATGTTAAAAACCCAATTGACCCACAATTTAGCCATCAAATGGCCACTGTGCATGGCTGGGACTATCTGCATTACAGGTTAATTAACCAATCACACAGAGAGATAAGCATTTGCATAACTAAATGCACCATGTCTGCAAGGTCCAACGCTGGAGTCTGAATCAATTTGGAGTACAGACTTAGTTAAATGGCTGTGATGTTAGGCCTAATTGCCTGCTTTGAAAAATAGATACGAGAGAAAAACTCTGCCAAACTGTTGATCGTTTGTCTCCTCAGTTCTCCTCTGCTAACAACAATGACTCTATGTCATGGGACATTATAAATACGACGAGGTAAATTGAATCTGGAATTGATTTTATCAGTGTCAAACTAGCGGCAGCTCATTCTTAACCATAGGGATTCAAATATCCAGCGTGGCAAATTAACTGAGTGAATAAAAAATAGATGTTCACAGTCTTATGAGTTTCAATCACTCGTGCTATTTTGCACATGAATTCCAATTTGATCAAACGCTCGCAAATTTAGCTGAGGATGTAAAATAAGCTCGAAAAAGAGCCCCAAATGGCAAAACTCAATAACAAAAAATTCTCTCAGCGGCCGGGCTGTAATTGCCATTTAAGAGCGCTCCCTTAACTGTTGTCAACGTGTCTGTGTGGTTGGCTCATTAACAAAAGCTGACCCATTGAATTGGGTCAGTGAAGATCTACCTCAGGGACCAACAGACTAGTGAGGCAGATGACTGTTTGGATGATTTGTCCCTAAGTGGATACATCAAGAGTACATCACTGGAGACTGTGTGTTCCCACGTCTTCAGCATTATTGATAGGCTGTGCATCTGTGGCTCAAGTCAATAGGGAGCAACTACTATACATGCAAATGCTGAGACCGGTACAGAGAGCACACGACTCGCGCTCCAGATGTGAGAATTCCGCCAAGAGATCCCGACAAACGAAGGCGCATTAAGCACACAGTTCTAAGAGTTTATGATGCAGCCTTGCACTTATATTAAGACTGGGAACAAACAAACACAAAATGGCTTCCAGAATTATTTTGAGCCTTCTAGGTAAATACAATTCTCCATGCATATCATCGCTCACTTCCATACATGAAATTAAGTAAGGACCCTGGAAGGCCAAAAGCAGTGCATTTATTCATGTTTATGTTTTATTGATGTGAGCAAAGAGAGCTTTGCCCCGGGAAAGTCAACCAATCATTTTTCAGATTGGCTCTCACCCTCCGAGGAGTTGGGTTTAGTCATCCTTTTATCCTAACGTTCTATTCTTGTCGCTTTCTTCCCCTTCTTTGCTTCCTTTTCCCTTTTCGATGGTTCATTTTTCAATCTCTCTTCCTTTGTTTCTTTCTTTCCTTTTGGAACAGGCTCTCCAGGTACTTTCTTTTGCTGTGGTTTCTTCTTTTATTATTTATTTTTTTTACATCCAGCATATTTCATGAGGTAAATAAGGGGAAGGAGAAAAAAAAACATTTAAAAGACATATCACTGTCAGATGCTGTTTGGCCACGCAAAGATTTTGACTCTCTAAGATGGCTGAACAGACAGACTCCATGGCAACAAAGGTGTTACAGCCGTAATGTCATTGTGATATACTGTATCAGCTCAACGCAAGTGCGTCATCTGCACACATCCACACACTCCGCTCGCAGAAGCGCTCAAACATGCAGCGTATGCAGCCGTGGATACAGACTGTTAGACCAAATAATGTCTTTACAATTTCCATTTTAATCTTTTTTTCTTTTTTTTTTTTTTAAAAGAGAAAAATGTTCAGATTTTAAGGTGCTTCAGTGGGACGTGAGAGGCATCTCAACACCATGTTGGTGGGCAGAAGGTTTTCTACACAGCTCACAATTTAGAAATGAATCATCTCTATGTACTGTCCTGCAACACGGCTAATAATAAAATGAAACAGACAGTTGCTGTACTGTTGCACGCTTACATTGTGCTTTCTTACATCGAGCTTCTGATGGAACCTGTTGCTTGTTCGGCCCCCAGTCAAGCATCATTAGGACGGCACCCCTCAGATATTATTTCTGTTTAATTGGGTATTCAAAAGAAGTAAAGGGAGCCTTATTCTAAACATCTCCACCTCCAGACTGTTGTTTCTCTTCTGCTCATGAGAAACACATGGCGACAAGTAGGAACAATCCTTAGAAATATGTGAAATGCAGCCACTTTCATGTAGATCTGGAAATGTTTTTTGAACATAACCAGAGGGGACAACTGAAAGAGCTAAATTAATTTCCAAGGGACCTCCAAAGTTGATAGCAGTGAATGATGCAAGGCTCTTTGTAATATCATGGCTACCGGCTGACACTCGGAGACGCGTTGACATACAGCTCAATTCTATTTACCTTTAGCATCATCTGAAGAGTTGCCATCTAAAATGACACACATTTACATCCTCATGAATACACATAAGCGTTTGGTATATTGTACTGTAGGGTAAACGCAGCCATACAGCGAGGGGGAGCCATCTCCGGGGACTCGCCTCTTTCTATTTAGCTCCTCTCCTCTGAGTCTAACCACAATCTCAAAATGTCTGACAACTCGCTGGAATGTATAAACACTAATTAAATCATTTCTTAAATATAAGCTTTAATGAGCGGATTTTTATTCAAACATACCAGCTTTCTCTGACAGCTGTCTGGAGGTCGGCTCTGTGACCTTATCAGATTCGATAAAGAGAGTAAAGGTGTGTTTTGAATTCATCAAGTGATGGAGTCAAACATAATCCGACAAACCTGGAGTGTGGCCACTTTTTCTATTTACCTGGGCTGTGTGTAGAGGCACGTGTACAGTAAGTGCACCGTAAGTGTTTGTGTTTTACCAATTTCCAGCTAAAATATGTAACATTGCCCAGTAGTGTAAAAAAAAAAAAATAAATGCCAGAAAGAGGTTTGAGCTAAGTTAAGAATAATGTCACCGTTATAATGTTTGAGCATGAATAAATAGATTTCGACACCATAAAATGTCCTGCTTAAAGACTGTGTGAAGGAAATCCAGTGATTTCTTCCTAAACACATTAGCATCAGAGGCCCGATTGGGACTCACTGCACTTATCACAGTCTATAGTTTCTCACCAGCTACGCCTCTGTCCAGCAAGTGCCTCTTCCCTGGATGCCCGAAGTTACAAACTCAATTCTTAAGAATAATGAGATGAAGAAGAGGAGGATTGATTTTGCCACATCGATGGAGAGCTGAGGATCTACCAACACCCACCTCGTCGTGAACATTTTACTCTGGGGCAGTTTGTATCAGCCTTTGTCACTGGAGGACCCACCGTTACAACTGAATGGAGCCAAATGGACAGTCTGCCTCCCTGGTCTTTATTAGTCTACCGTCCTGCCGACATCTGGCGCCATTGTCACCGGTACACGCCCACCGATGCAGGCTGCCTTGTGTGCTTCATTTATTATACGAGGTAGCTTAGTCCACAAAGTGACAAAAATACTACAGATCTACAGTTTTGCTTTTTGAATTTCACATCTAGTTAAAACAACCAGAGGCGTGAACCACGAAGTAAGATTAATGGGTTAGCGAGATGTGCTGAGCCTAAAGCCAGAGTTTTCAAGGCTAGATCACTATGGTAACGAGGACTTGTGCTGCACAGCTAACCTGCTCGGGCGGAGGTTATGTATGAGTTGTGTTGCTTTGGGAACCTATATGCATTCATTGGTGCAAAAAGACATGTTTTAATGCTTGTTGCTAAAGTCCATTTTCTGCTGCTGGGATTGCAGCTACAAGAACAAGGATTACACTCTTCTGTATACTGGTATTTATTACAGAGAATATTCAATCAATGATGTTCGTTTCGCTTTGATTTGGCCGAAAACTAAAGTGATTTCCATGTATCTTTTATCATGGGATGGTGTAAGACCAAAGTGTGCTTCTTAAGTACCATGTTTAAATGAACCAAGTTTAAGAGCTCCGACGTGCAGCTGTCATGTTATGCGGCAGCACCGAGAGTGCACTGAGTGGGAAAATAAATGT